CAAAAATCGTCATCTTATTGAAATAGCCATACCTTACTTAAACATCATCATGTTCCTCTTCGATTTTGGGGGGATGCAGTTCTCACCGCCTGTTACTTGATTAACCATGTCTTCTTCTGTCTTGCAACATAAGAGTCCTCACTCCATTATGTTTCCTGGTAAAGACCTATACCCAATACATTTACGGGTGTTTGGTTGCATTTGCTTTGTTCATGATCACACTCCAGGCAAAGAAAAATTACAGCCTAAATCCGTTAAATGTATCTTCTTAGGATATTCTCATCTCCAGAAAGGTTACCGTTGCTATGACCCAACCACCAACAAATATGTTTTTTCTGCAGATGTAACTTTCTTTGAGACATCTCCATACTTTTCTGAAAACACCGTCAATAGCAATCTTATCCCTGCCACCTTACCTATCCCCATCCCTCCTTCCTCGTCGATGGATCATCCTCCTCTCCAAGTTTATTCTCGTTGTCCTCATCCTCCTACTAATCCCAATGCTACTTCCCTTCTTGATACAGGTACCTCGGTCAATCCTGATGACCCATCTCCTGTTCCTCCGTCGCCTGCTCTGGTCATGTCTCCTGCAGACTAGGCAACTCCTCCACTTGCCCTTCGCAAAGGTATTCGATATTCTCGAAACCCACATCCTATTTATAATTTTCTTAGTTATGATCATTTATCTCCATTTTATTCTGCCTTTATTTCAAACCTGCCTTCTATCCCTATACCTAACACTGTTAGCGAGGCAATGGCACATCCAGGGTGGAGAGCTACCATGATTGAGGAGATGACTGCTTTTGATCATAATGGTACTTGGGAATTGGTTTCCTTACCGCCAGGCAAGACTGTTGTTGGGTGTCATTGGGTTTACACTGTTAAGATTGGTCCTGATGGCAAAGTTGATCGGTTGAAGGCTCGCCTTGTTGCAAAGGAGTACACTCAGATCCATGGGCTCGACTACAGTGATACCTTCCCTCCTGTTGCTAAGATTACTTCGGTACGCCTCCTTATCTCTTTAGCGGCCATGTATCAATAACCTCTTCATTAGTTGGATATCAAAAATGTCTTCTTGCATAGTAAACTTGTCGAGGAAGTGTATATGGAGCAACCACTAGGGTTTGTCACTCAGGGGGAGTCAGAATTGGTGTGTCGTCTACGCCAATCTTTATATGGTCTCAAGCAGTCACCTAGAGCATGGTTTGGACGGTTCAGTTCTGTGATTCAACAGTTTGGGATGTCGCGAAGTACAACTGATTATTCAGTATTTTTCCACCGTAATGATCATGATAAATTTATATACTTGGTTGTCTATGTTGATGACATTGTCATAACAGGTAATGACCAAGATGGGATTTCTCAACTGAAGCAGCATCTATTTAGCCACTTTCAAACCAAGGACTTGGGGAAGCTAAAGTATTTTCTAGGGATTGAGGTAGCACAATCTAAGGCTGATATTGCTATATCACAAAGGAAGTATGCCTTGGACATTCTTGAGGAGACAGGTATGTTAGACTGTAAGCCTATAGATTCTCCTATGGATCCCAATGTCAAACTTGTTCCTGGACAAGGGGAGCCATTAGAAGACCTTGAAAGGTATCAAAAATTGGTTGGTAAGCTGACCAAATATCTCCTTTGCAGTTACTATGGTTAGCCAATTTATCCAGGCCCCATGTAGTGGTCATTAGGACACAGCAATTCGCATTCTCAAGTATATTAAAGGAGCTTCAGGACAAGGCTTGCTATATGAAAATATGGGTCATTCTCAAATTGTTGGGTATTCTGATGCTGATTGGGCAGGGTCTCCATCAGATAGATGATCTACTTTTGGATACTGTATCATGCTGCAAACGAACCGAACAGTTCACGAATGTTCGTTGTTCGTTCGATTACTGTTCGATAATGTTCACGAACATTTGTTCGTGAATAGTTCGATATTCGTTCGATAATATGTTCGATCGAGTTCGAACAGGGGTTGTTCGTTCGATTATGTTCGCGAACACTATACGTTCGACTGATCCATCCGTTCGCGAGCAATCGTTCGATTGTTCGTTTGTTTATATTCGAAAAACATGTTATGCATTATTATAATTAATTTTTTTTTCCATTTTTATATTATGTTTGATTTAGTTTGGATGAATTTTTTTTAATGGTAATCAATAATAAAATATTATGATACTTTTTTTTTTCTTATATATATAATATGTTTGGATTTTTTTTTCAAATGTCATTAATAATTAAATATATAAGTATATGACATTTTAATTAAAAAGTAATAAATTATTATGATACATAACATGACAAATTTAATAACATAATAGATTATATAATCAAGTGATATATAATATAGTAAATCCAATAACATAATAGCTTCATATTTTTTTAAATGTAATCAATAATTAAATATTATAAGATAGCATTTCAATTAATAAATAATAAATATAGTATGGTAAATTGATAAACATAACATATTGTATAATCAAGTGATGTATACCATAACAAGTTTAATAATATAATAGCTTAATTAAACCTAAATTAATCACACATTTGTATTGATCATATATTACAATAGACTTTCATTCCACTATAAATTTATGGGTGTTGATACAAAATATATATGTAAACATTTAAATAATTTATGTAATGATAATAAATATATGATAACCTATAATTTTGGTAATTTCATAATATTTTTAACATATGTATATATATAACAAATTAATCACATATATGTATTGATCATATATTACAATAGACTTTCATTCCACTATAAATTTATGGGTGTTGATACAAAATATATATGTAAACATTTAAATAATTTATGTAATGATAATAAATATATGATAACCTATAATTTTGTTAATTTCATAACATATTTAACCTATGATTAATATATGTATGATAATAATTTTGTATATACACAATTACACATTATATATAACAAATTAATCACACATATGTATTGATCATATATTATAATAGACCCTCATTCCACTATGAATTTATAGGTGTTGATACAAAATATATATGTAGACAGTAATGATAATATATATATATATAACAAATTAATCACATATATGTATTGATCATATATTACAATAGACTTTCATTCCACTATAAATTTATGGGTGTTGATACAAAATATATATGTAAACATTTAAAATATTTACAATAATTTATGTAATGATAATAAATATATGTATAATAATAATTTTGTACATATTATATAGTGGCATGTTCACTCCTTGGAATCCTTTTGGTTGTGCTGTAATGTCTATGCAAAATGCAAATTCCTTTTGTTTGTGTCATGTTTGATATGGAACTAAATTTGTTTTAAACGATTTATTGTTCTGTTTAATTTATTTTGAAGTTTTATTATTTATGATGGTTATTTATTTTAATTTACTGAGTTTTTATTGATTTATTTAAAATATAAATATAGATAGAGAGTTGGTTTATTTTCCAATGTTGAATTAAATGAGTATGAATTATAAATTGTTACATATTTGTTTTTTAGAGCATGAATTGGAAAGTTGGTGTATATTTTTTATTCGAACAGGTATTCGAACAGGTATTTATAAGTTATCGAACAAGTTATTCGAATAGGTATTTACAAATTATCGAATGAGTTATTCGAACAGGTATTTATGAGTTAGTTGAACGAGTTAGTCAAACAAGTTAGTCAACGAGCTTTTTGTTAATCGAACGAACACGAACATGAACAATTGAACATGCTTATCGAACGATTTTCGAACGGGCATGTTCGTTCATGTTCGGTTCGATTGCAAGCCTAATTGGAGGTAATCTAATATCTTGGAAGAGTAAGAAGCAAGATGTAGTAGCTAGATCAAGTGCAGAGGCAGAATATTGGGCTATGGCTCTCGCGACCTGTGAGCTCATCTGGTTGAAACAACTTCTTCAAGAATTGGGGTGTAGTGAAGTGAAGCAGATGAAACTAATATGCGACAATCAAGCTGCTTTGCATATTGCCTCAAATCCAGTCTTTCACGAAAGAACAAAACATATAGAGGTTGATTGTCATTTTATCTGACAGAAGATTGAATCCAGATGCATTGTCACCAATTTTGTCAACTCAAATGACCAGCTAGCAGATGTTCTTACTAAGTCTCTCAGAGGTTCCCGAATTGGATACATTTGTAACAAGCTTGGAACATATGACATATATGCTCCAGCTTGAGGGGGAGTGTTAAGATATATTAGGAAAATAGAGATATTATTTACTGTTAAGATATATTAGGAAAATAGAGATAGTATTTCCTAGATTGATTTGTGTAAATATGGTAGACTAATATTGTGTGAATATCCTTGATTATTTGGGATCAATTCTTTCCTAATTCATGTAACTTGTACATTATATAAATTCCCATCTTGCTTGGGGAAATAATCAAGCAACATATTTCACAGACACTGTTGTTTCATGGAGTTTGAGCCAACAACTACCTCCATCAACAGACATAACCCACTATATGGGCTTAACCGTGAGAGGGAGTATTAGAGTCTCACACCGACTAGGCACGTTTAAGCCTACTAGATTATAAGATGGGGTAATCCTCATGTTCAATAAGACCTTATTGGGTAAGGAATCAAGTCCACCTCAAATTCTATCATAGTATTAAAGTCAAGTTCAGTTGAGCTTAGTGTTTGACCAGCGGGTGAGGAGTTAGAACCAACAGTTACCTCCAATAACAGGCATAACCCAACATATGAACTTGACTGTGAGGGGGAGTGTTAGAATCCCACACCGACTAGACACGTTCAAGCCTACTAGATTATAAGAGAGGGTAATCCTCCCATTTAATAATGTCTTATTGGGTAAAAAATCAGACCCACCTCAAATTCTATCAGAAACCATACATATAATATATACATTGGAAATCATAGAATTATGATAATCTGGGTATATCAATACATTGCATATTTCAGAGTTCGAATTTACTTCATTTCATGTTCGCAGGACACAAACATAGAGACAGGCATAAAAAAATCCCTTTTACCATTGGGGCGAAAATGGCTTCAAATTCAAAGTAATACTCCTTGTGATTGTTATAAGTTACAATTATTGGATTTAAAAGGCCAAAATGCTCCAAATTTATGAGCTGGCAAAGGGCATTGAAAAGGAAAAGGGCAAAATAAAAATAAAAATGGCTCCAAGGCAAATTATAACCTCCTCAACTGCAAAACCTAACTATGCTAAGATGATCGAAACATTACAACAGAATTTGTGTGAAATTAAATTAACATTCACATTCTGAACCTAGCAACGGAAACCAACTATTTTCCTGTATTGGCCATTTGAAGAGACCCTGATACCAGAATGGGGAGCTTTCCCTTCCACATAACTGTTCGCTCAACGAGCAACTTTGCCATATTGATCTAAAGCTCTGGATAGTGACTGTATAGAAACCGGGAATGCAGGACCCATCTGCAGATGTAAACCAATTAAATCGGTTAATTATAAGCAACAAAGATTTAACAGAAGCTATAACAATGTATTGTAACATTCCAACATAATCAATGTCTTTCAGTTCCTCACAACCAATAAACTTCATATATTTCCTTGTGCATAATGACAGGTATAACTTATAAGCAAACTTCAAACTAGAAGCAATACTAATATATCCTATAACAATGTAATAGAAATTAATTTATTACCTAACACAACATGATTCCATTTCAAACCCAGGATACATTATATTTAATGAACAAGTTGAAACCAAAAAGCAACAATTACACAAGGGCAGACTTATTCTCCACACAAATTTTCTAACCTTGTTCAGATTCACCTACAATACTGCCAACTTACCACGTCTATCATGTCTCATTCTAAAATGCGTCAAATCAAAAGATAGTTATCCTTTTGGAAAATGTTCATTGCCCTTTTATTTTCCGTAAACAGAATAGGTACTTCATCCAAAAATACAGTGAATCAGGTTGAAAAATAAAAGATCTAAATAGTTTCAACACATCTCATATACATAACACTTTTTTTTTTTTTTTTTTTTGGTTGAATTATATTTTGATGTGTACCGACCGTGGACAGTAAAACAAGTTCAATAAGTAGATATTTGAACTTATGCCACACAAAAGCTTGGGGTGAACCTGTCCATGGCCTTTTAGCAGGGCTAGAAATTACGAAATTAAGAAGTTTTTGAATTTGAAGTAATAGAAGAGAGAACTACAGTATTTTTTGATAGATTAAGTAATTGCATTTACTGTGTTTTAAGATCATAAAGGTGTGAAATTCAATGGACAGAAAGCCAGAATGTTATGGCAGTAGCAAAAATCTAGAGATATATGCTATTTTGAAGATTCTTTTGCTTGTTAAATTCCCAAATTTGAAAACCTTGGTGCTTCAAATCGAATAATATGTTTTGCTTGAAAAAAAAAAAACATTAGTTAAACTGACATAAGAGAAAGCTGTTTCAGTACTGCAGGATGCACAAGAAAGTTGTACAGGGACTTGTTGACCAGGAAGATATGAAGAAATCATATTCTATTCTTAATCAGCCTTTGCAAATGGCTTAGGAAATCAATCAATAATATATGAACAAAATGCATTGTATTCTTTATCTGTCTTTGTAAATGGAATAATAAATCCATCACACTCCAAAATTACTTTACCCTGGAAAAGAGTACATGAGCTTACCGTGCTACACATATGGAAGGCGTTCACATAGCCAGCAAATTTAGAAGCTGCGAAATAGAAGAGGAAGTATTTGTTATTGTTAATGTCCAGGAAAAGTCCTCATTGTAAGGCCACAGACTGAATGCAACAAACATTTTATAAAATATGTTGACATCATGTCATCTAAAGGATTGACACAAGCATGTAACAACACAAACACAATTGCACTATATTAAGCAACTAATGTTGATCTATAACGGAGTAAATTTCAATAGAACTTTAGCCAATTCTCTGTCATCTCTAACTGCTTTCAATATCTTGGTAGAGGCATTTTTTTTTTTTTGACCAAAATAGTTTATTGGTTCTGACCCTATGATTCTGATGCAAGAAAAGAAACACATGCCGATGACACAAAACTCATAACTACATTTTCATAGTCCAGAATCATGAACCCCCAATTTAAAGTCATTTCTTTGATGAGTACAGTGAAGGCTCGGAGAAGATCACAATAAAAAGACCTAAATTAATGTCATTTGGGAAACAATGGATATAATACTTGCTACTTACTTTTCTTTAAGCCTGCAGGCTTTGCCTTCAGAAGAGCACTCACAAATGCACCAACATTATCGCGCAGATGCTCCTCCTTCAGACTCACCTGTAGATGATAAAACAAGGAGAAGGGTAAAGTGATATAAATTAACTTTCAACCCATGTATAATCCTGTTAACATAAAGCACTATATTGGGAGATGACGGTACCTTTCCAAGTCCGACATGCAGATTAGATGTGTTGTCCATTTTAAACTTAATATGACCTTGTTTCGCTTCTTGTACCGCCCTAGCAACATCATTGGTCACTGTACCTTGCTATACTAGATATTAGTACAACTATTGATGAAGATATTACAAGTCACTCTACATGAAATGAGCGTATAAAAGATGATATACTCACTTTAGGGTTTGGCATCAACCCCTGATGATTTAGAATCTTCGATATCTGCAAAATTGGAAAAAGAAAAGAATATCCTCTGAATAAACCGACCATTAGTTGGATCAATCACTCAATTTACAAGACCATTTAAATCTAACCTTGAAAAGACGAGGCATGAGTTGACGAGTTGCAAAACACTTATCAACATCAATCTTGCCAGTGCCTGCACAGAAGCGAACCCAGGTTTCAAAGCCAAAACATAAAATTAGTTTACAAATATTAATTAAAATAAAAACCAAACCAAGAATGACATTCATCTTAAAGGGATACATAAAATGGCAAAGATAAGTCCATTACTTGCAATTTCCTCGATAAGTTCTTAACCACCAACAAGATCAGCTCCCGAAACTCTAGCTTCATCAGCATCTGCCCCTTCAGCAAAGAAAGCCACCCTAACAGCCTGACAACTGATTAAAATCATCAGATGAACCAACTAAATTGCAACTTAATGAAGTAAACATTATAAGGATTAACAAACACCTTCTTATCTCCATGGGGTAGATTCATGGTCCCTCGTACTATCTGCCACAAAAAATTAAAAATAAAATAAAATTGAAAGAACATAATTAGAATGATCACATTCAGCCAAAAGAAGTTTGAGATTGATTAACTAGCTGACATACCAGCTCAGTTTTGCGAGGAGGAATAGCTAATCGGACATGAGCTTCAACAGTTTCATCAAAATTAGCCTTGGCAGTAGCCTGAACAATAACTCAAATTAGAAAAAAAATAAATAAACAAATTCAATAATTTATGATTAAGTGAAGCATCATTTTAACTACACTGACCTTGACTTGCTTAATGGCGTCCATCAAATCAAGAATTTGCTTATTTTCCTTCTTCTTACTCTCGGCCTTAATAAGCATAGGAAACGGCACAACAACCTTCTCCCCCTCCTCCACGGCAGTCCGAAAAGACCTCCGACGCAACAACGGCTTTTTCGATTCTATCCCCCTCCTCTCCCTCTCCATTTCTGCATTCTCTTTCACATCCCTTTCCTCTCCTTCCGCCCCAACTTTGTCCTCGGGAAGAGGCGCAACACGTGCCGGGTAGGAAACGGTAGATATCGACGGAACATCTTTCACGTATCGAACGTCTTCACGTGTCCAATCCGTTCTAGCCTCCTGTGTCGGCGGCGGTCTTCTGGGTTGTGGCTGTGGCGGTGATTGTGGCTGTTGTGGTTCGGTTTCTTTGGGGGGATCTGATTCGTCTTTGGGTTTTGTGGGGTAGGATACTACTTGGATGGTGGGTTTAGATCCTGAAGAATCGTCGCTAGGAGGAGTAATGGATGAGGAGAGATATCTTTGAAAGGTTGAAAATGGAGAAGAGTGGGACTTCGATAGAGAGTGGCGGCGAGCTTGAGAGAGGAGAAGCCATCAGACTGCCATTTTCTTGAGAAAATTTAGCTGCCAAGTATGTTTTTAAGAAAGGCCTTGAAACTGTTAATTGAATTTTTTATAATTTAGAAAAGATGACGTGGCATAGTTAGGATTAATTAAACACGTAAAATGGAAAAATAAAAAGATTAAAATATATATGGGCCGAATCAGAAATAATGAAAGTTTTAAAATTTAAAATTTCGCAAAACAAGCCCCACTAACTATTCACCTCGCTTAATCGAAATTCATCAGTTCAAAACGTGATTTCTTAAACGAAAGGGAGACGCGATTTTTTCTGATCGAACACCAATTGATTTGCACCCTAAATCAATTCTTGAACCCTAAACCGAATCAGTCGCGATTTTCGATCGATTTGTTGAACCTAAAATCGATTTCCTTAACCGAAACGAAAACTGTGCCATTCCGGTGATACAGTCCAGATTTTCGATCGAAACTGCAAACTTTGACACCAAATTCAATCCAAAACCATGAGTGACACTGACAATGAGGAGGGAAGCCTAACGCCACTCGAATCCTAGATTCCGGTGGCGCAAGCAGTTCAATGGCTGCTCCGATGGATCATGACCATTGAAGGTGGTCACACGTAGAGGAGACGCGGCGGCACAAGAACAGAGGGAAGAACCAGCAAAGGGGTCTAAAGACGAGGAGTCAGGCGAGAATTAGGCCAGAAGGAGGATTCCGGAGGAATTCAGGCCAGAGGTGGATTCCGACGAGAATTCAGGCCAGGAGGTCGCCGGAGGATCCAGGTGACGAGGAGAAGGCCGGCGAAGATAGGGTACGTAGTTTGGGAATGTTGCTTGTAATTCGCTAAGCGATCATTTGTATCGCTTAAGCGATATTCTGTTTTACTCGTGATCGCAGCAATGATCGCTTAAGCGATAAAAATGATCGCTTAAGCGATCTGAGATGGGCAGAGATTCTGCCCAGACCAAAGATCGCTTAAGAGATCATGAGTGTTTACTCTGGTCGCTTAAGCGATCTTAGGTTGGGCAGAATCACAGATTAAGAGATTCTCAGTTACTTTTGGTTGCTTAAGCGATTTAAAATCGCTTAAGCGATCTTGCATGAGACAGTAAAGATCTCTTAAGCGATCCGAGATCGCTTAAGCGACTACAGTGGTTTTGGTTTATTTTTGTTGATGACATTTTATTATATCGATTGTGCAGATTGTGCGGACCGTAAACTGTAGAGAGTCGAGTTGGAGCCTATAAGTGAGAAGTACCCTACTTCCCTGCAAGGGTGACGGTGAGGTCGAGCTGGGGGTTTTGACAGAATAAGAGCCATTTTAGCTAGAATGAGGCATGGTGAAAGAGATTTTGGTGGCACTTGTTCGGTCAGTTTTTAAGAATCGGAACAAAGTGGAAAAGTCATTTTGGGGCAGGGAGTGCATTACATGTTGATGCACTCAGTAAAATGCAACAAAAAAAATGAAATGTGGTTCGTGGTGGAGGAAAGCCACTACGGTTTGGTATGATGGAGTATGCGTTGGTGACGGGCTTAGGATGCGGGAAAGTGCCAACTAAGGCGGAGGCAGACGCAGTAAGGATGAGTGCGGGAGCCATAAACTTTTGTAAAAAAGTTTTGAAAGGGGCAAAGTCTATTACGGAAAAGTTTTAGAGAAGAGGCTATATACAGTTCGGTTTAGTGATGCAGAGAAGATAAAAGTGTGCTTGATATTGTTTTTACATTCTATCTTATTGGCTGGTGACTCAACAAAAGCTGTTGAGAAAGATGGTTGCTGTTTGTAAGCGACTTGGAGTTCTTTAATTCTTATCCGTGGGGATGGATATATTTGAGCGAACCATCAAGAGCCTGAAAAAACCAGACATGGCGTTAAAACATGCCGAATGGGGCGGGAAGGCTAAACCAAGCACGTATAATTTGTTTGGCTTCCATGGGCAATGCAGGTAAATATTAATAGCTCTATGTATATTTTTATAATATGTGTGTTTGAATAATGACATGGACTGTTTTTTACAATGTAGGCTTGGATGTACGAGGCATCCCTGTCTTCGCTAAGGCCGGGGAGGAAGCAACAATGTGAATGTGCAACAGCAATTTCCTAGGATGTTGCGGTGGCATGTCGAGAGCTGTAACCATTGGGATTATGGCAATTAGAGATTGGATTCAAGCATGGGGTAAGATTGAAGGATTAAGCTTTTGAATATGCAGTTGCTTTTTTATTTTGCTTCAATCTATTGATTTTTATTTCTTATTGTAGGGAGTCGTCCGTCCCTTTTGACGCTATTGGGGATGAAGCGGAAGAGGACTATGTCACATCTTTCAGAGCAATGGAGGATGAAAGGGATGAACAGATAGACCGCCTGATGCGGGACCTAAAAGGGGTCACGCATGTGATGGCAGTGCAGGGCCATTGCTTGACAATGTCGTTGATGCTAAGGAAATGAAGCCGGGGGGCCGAGGATGAGGAGGAGAAGAGGGAGGAGATGGTGTGCCTCAGCAAACCGGTACAACAAGTACCGCTTTGCCGAGACATCGGCGTAGGGAGAATGAGGTGTGTTGACCTCATAAACGGCCTGTTTGAGAGTTTTACAATAGCCGTTTATGCAAAGCTTGAGAAGAGGAAGAAACAATGAAAAGGGTGGAGAAGAAAGTGGATAAGGTGGGAGGGAAAGTAGGTACAATGGAGGGCGAAGTTGGTACAATGGAGGAGGAAGTTGGTGGAGAATTAAAGGCGGTTTGAAGTGCAAACTGGCTTGAAAAGAGAGAGCCGAAAGAGCAAGTTTGTGAAATCGCCTTACATGGTAGTGACACAGGTAAGAAGAAGAAAATGAAGAAACAATGGAGGAACAACCAGAAATGGAGGAGGTTGAGGAGGTTGGTGGGGGAAGGGGGCGGTGATAATGGAGGAGGGGGAGTTGGAGGCGAAGGAAGCGAGGATGTAAAAATCGAGGAAGGGGGAGGAAGTGGGGAAGAGAAATTGGACTCAAATGTCGATTTGTATAGGCCAATAGAGGAAAAGAAAAAACTCTTTTGACTATTACAATGGATCGGAAGTGATGGCCAATAAGTGTAAGACAGGGGATTATCCCGGGAATGGTTTCAGAAGTTGTTGACGATGGGGACGTGGCTTGAGGACTCGGTGAGTTATTTCACTTAATTTTCCTATTTTTGTGTGTTTTCCATACTTATCTTGTTGTTTTTATTTGATGAGCACATCGATGAGATATTGGCACTGATGAGGCTACGACAGACTAGTGATGGTGATCTGTTGTATCCCGACTGTGTATCACCGAGTGTGGCGTTTGGGCAAACGCTTGTTTCGGCATATCGGTCTTTAATTAAAAATGCCGTTGCTAGTGGTGTAGCAAAAGGACCGAAGCGAAAACGATTGGCCGCAAACAGTCAGATTGATCCCTGATGATTTCCGATTTGATGATAGGATTATGCAGTACATAAAGGGGGATCGGCCAAATATGGCCACGGTTGGGCCTTGTTAAAAGAGTGTACTGCATCATCCTCGTCAACAGATGCACTGGATAGCAGTCGTTGCGCATCTAGAGGAGGGGTGTCTGAAGATCCTTGACTGCAACCCAACCTTGTCGGACAAGCAGTTGGAGGTCGAGTTGGAGCCACTGTCCAGGTTGTTCCCGCGGCTGTTGGTGGACAGCGGGATGTTTGGGCAGTTGGGTGATCAGGTACTAACTGGAAAGTGGCCAATTCAGCGCTTTTACCTGCCCAATAAAGAGTCAGGTAAATTTGTTTTAAAACAACTTACATAATACAATTGTTCTATAAGTTATTATAATGCTAATGTCTTTCCTATTGTAGCGCTGAATGTGAGGCATATGCCCTGAAATTTATTCAGTTCGACATGACCAATAGCCCGATGGTAGCTTGAATGACGAAATAATGAGAGATTGTCGGGAGCGCTGGGCTGTCGACTGCTTCCATAGGCAGATGGATCCGTTTTGAGTGACCAGAACCCAATCAAGGGTATGAAAGTTGGATGCTGAATTTTGTAGTTTATGTGATGTTGATGTTCATACTTGGGTTTTTTGAGTTGAGTTTATGTGATACCTGTATAATTATCAATAAGGGTGTATATACATGTTCATTTTCAATGGTGTTTTGACGTGTATTTGTGTCAGAACTGTTATTTAATTGTTCTCATTGGCTGGCTATTTTCTAATTCATGCCTTTCTCATATTATGGTGTTTTACACTGCAGGTCACTAAGATGGAATGTCAATCTCCACAGAAAGTCAACCCGGGCACCATATTAGCCGCCCTTGTAGATATCATCTTGAATTTGTTGGATGTAGTGCAGAGCCAGAAAGCATGGAAAAATGATGTCGTGGGCATCTTTTCAAGCATGGACTGCCCTGATACCATTCACTGGGATTCTAAACTCTTTGGCATAAAAAACTAATAAAAGCAGTGTATAGGAAATTGTCAATAATTTACTAGTATGGTGTAATCATTGTAAAGAATTGGATCTGATATTTGGGATCTATTTTTGTTTGTCCATATAAGATAATTCATCAGAAGTTTCAATTTACTATGTATGTGTGTCCATATAAGATATTTTTGTTTGTCCACATATCTCTCTAAAACGACCAAGACTTTCCAGAAACGATCGCTTAAATCTCTTAAGCGACCTTAAATCTCTTAAGCGACCACGGTCTGGGCAGAGGTCATTTTAGAAAGAATCGCTTAAGCGATACGAAGGTCGCTTAAGCGATCACAATCTGGGCAGATGTCATTCTGCCTCGGAAAAGATCGCTTAAGCGATCATGTGTCTTTTAGGAATAATCGCTTAAGCGATATAAATGGGTCGCTTAAGCGATCATAGTCTGGGCAGATGGCTTTCTGCCTCGGAAAAGATCGCTTAAGCGATCATAAATCGCTTAAGCGACCATGTGTCTTTTAGGAGAATCGCTAAGCGATATAAATGGGTCGCTTAAGCGATCATAGTCTGGGCAGTTGTCATTCTGCCTCGGAAAAGATCGCTTA